TGTGAGGTAGGAGGGGGCCTGGTGATGGAGGGCTTTGTAGGTAAGGAGAAGGATCTTGAAATGGATGCATTGTGGGACGGGGAGCCAGTGGAGATCTGCAGGACGGGGGGATGTGGTCACGGAGAGGGTGAGGGTCAGGAGTCGGGCGGCAGAGTTCTGAATGTACTAGAGTTTATTGAGGAGTCTGGATGGTGTAACAGAGAGGATGCTGTTGCAGTAGTCTGGTCAGGTCAGTATTCATAATGATGAACTGCTGTTTCTGTTTTATTTCACCTGCCTGCAGTCTATAACACTGCAGAGATATGAAGTGTGTTGCTAGGCTACCTACTGTATGAGTTGTAATGTTTTACAAATTACAATGATATATTTTTCACAATTAAACATACACACAACACAAAACAATTCTTAACCTACAAGTTACTCCTGATGGCTTCCCTTCATAAAGCGACTTGCTATGCTAGCAAATCCATAACAACATGAACTCTAACTTGACTGCAAACCAAATGTTGTTTATTATTGGTGTTTACAGTTTATTCTGTAATCCTGAGTAAGATTTGTATTTTTTAACAATTCATATTTGTCTCTATTTAATTACACTTGCATATGTAAGGAATGAATAATGAAGTTTGTATGATACCAATAATACAAATAAAAGGAAAGATGGTGAATACACAAAAAATGATATTTGATCACTTAGTATGATCAGACCATAATAAAATGTTAAAACTAAAGTTGTATTTTTTTAATTGTATTAAAATTAAGTTGCAGTTTTGAATAGTGATGGAGTCAAATTTGTATTTCTGAAATGGAAAATAGAAAAGCTAAGATGAAAAACTGAAATGCAAATCAGAGAATCAGCACTTTGGAAACAGGGCTGAAACAGAGGGGATTATGGGATGCTGCAATACACGAGCCAAACCCTTCAGAGACATGTTTGTAGATATCTGAGACCTATAATATATTGATGAAAAACAGTATTATAGGGGGTCTTTAAAGTTCTGGTGAAATGACATTATGAATATTCATGATGTGTGAAATGTCATACTTTAAAAACTGCCTGGAAGAATATCCGTGTGTCTCTTTGCTGCAGATATCTTTTGACTTTTCCTTTCCTTTTTCCTGTCCGTCAGGGTGCAGGTGGAGTTCTATGTGAACGAAAACACCTTCAAGGAGCGGCTGAAGCTTTTCTTCATCAAAAACCAAAGATCAAGTATGTTGATGGTGCAAAACATCTTCTCACACCCATGAATTGGCTGTTTCATAATGGACAGGGTGCATTAAAGGTCACCAAAATAACAAATACAGACACATTCCGTCCTAATGAAACCCTCATGCATATAGAAAAACATTTTTAATGCTTAGCAACCATATATTTAAAGAGAAATCCACACTGGTTTTGCTTATGAGTCAAAAGAAATAACATTATTGCTGCAGTGCTGATAAGTTCAAGGTAAAATGTATTTATAGAGTGCATCAAAAGTCATCCGGTTTGTGCCGAAGGGCTTTACAACAAACCTTGTTGTAAGTAAAGATTAGAAGTGCAGACACACAAACACATGCAGAGGCGTGCAGACATTCATGCACGTCAATGTGGAATGCAAATCATCTCAAGAGTCATTGCAGGGGAGTAAAAGTGGCTCTTGAGACTCTTTTCAAGAGGAGTCAAGGGATTATACTGCGCTGATATTTTCAGGGAGTGTATTCCAGAGTTTTGGAGCAGCTTCTTACCAAAAGCTTCTTAGAAAGCCCTGTCTCCAAAAGGTTTAGGACGAGATGATAAGTACTGAAGTGAGTTCTTCCATACAAAACAAGGAGACAGTGAAAATATGCTACATGCACAACATGTTATTTGTTGTTTGTGTCAGTTTGTTGTAACTTTTATGAGTCTCTTTTACCTGTTGCTAGCATTTAACAGTAACATGGTTGATACTAAAGCATAGAAGTTTGCAATAATGGAATTTGTCTGGAATGTAGTGCATGGATAACCTTGTGTTACTAGGAGAAGCTAGATATGACACATTTGTTAACATTTTTATACTACATTTATTTTTGAGATAGTGTCTGATGTGATTGGATAACTAGAAATCAGAAATCCTTTGATGCAATTATTGAATTTTGAGCAATAGGAAGGTTCTACTCATGGATATACTGTAATTCAGAGCTGTAAGAAGTTTTATTGAACATCTTCGGTAGCCTTTCTATCAAACGTATATTGTATTGAATATTGTTCAGTACTGACTGATATTATTCCAGGGTTTTTGCAAAGGGTCTGGTGGAATCGAGGGGCTGGGCACTGTTGCTGGAGGAGTGTGTTGGGTGATACAAAAGCAGTATTTTGTTGTAAAACGTGTCCCTGTCTGGTCCTTAGGCCTCCGTATCCGTGTGTTCAACTTCTCCCTGAAGCTGCTCACCTGTCTGCTGTACATCATCCGGGTGGTGACCGATAACCCGGGTCACAGCGCAGGACAACAGAACGCTAACAGTGGCAACGTCAAATGGTTTGTCCATTTTGAACAGAAGCACTAATGTACAGTACAGCACCAATGGTAGAATAAAAGATAGATACATGTTGAAACAATGGCAGCAAAGTTGCAAATATATCATTCAAAGAAAGAGTAAATGCTCTTATAAATGACACACCCACCAAGCAACAAAAGAAATTACTTATTTTAGTAAGCTTTTCACTTTTATTCATTTATGTTAAACATCACAGTCAGCTTACATTCACTATAAATGTTTAACAGACTTATTGATATTGAAAACCTAAGGAAAGACTCTTCTTAAAGTGCTTAAGCAAAAATAACTTGACTACATTCATTTATTCACTTTCTGTTTTTCACTCTCCTGCAGTGTTGACTGCCTGTGGAACGGATCAGTGCAGGACAGAGAGATTAACTGGTGAGCAGCAGGAGGTGGAATGACTGTTCATTCAGGGTCAAATGAAAAGAAAGTATTATGTAGCCTCTGGTGAAAGCAACATATTCTGTGAGTGCGCTTCCAGCTCTTTTCCTGCACTCAGCTCATTACCTTACCTGGCCTGAGATGAATGTTGCACATGTTCATTTGACATATTGTCACATGTATTATCTCTAATGATACCCATATAATGCAATAATAACAGTATTATTTTGACTTTATTTACCTCAAATATTTAACAATGATAACGCATTTTGTGACTGATTTATAGGTCATTTGTTGTGAATGAAAGAGTTGCTCTGTTTGACAGGGGGTTGATCTTCTGGGTGGATAGAAAAGTTCCTGTGTGGGCCATCCAAGTGAGTCACAATACATCCAGGGGAACAGGCTTTACACGTTACAAAGAGGCCATGTTGTGTTGTGGGGGTTTACCTTTACTGTAGGTTTTGTGCATGTCAATGGTTTACAGAGGCTAACATCCCTGTGTTCCCTCCAACGGGAGTTTCTCTCAAACACATAAATACTAATATGAACCTGAAAATGAGCCTGTCTTATTGAAACAAGAAAAACATTGTGTTTTTTAAAAAGTGCTTGACAACACTGTGGGTTTCATTCTCAGATAATTAATTTTAAAATGATTCTTCTGTTAACAATTGATCAGCTTGTTTCCTGTTCTTTTTTCTTGCACAGGTGATTGTTGCCATCATTAGTTTTCTGGAGACTATGTTACTGATGTATCTCAGCTACAAGGTAACACACACACACACAATAAACAGACGTCATGTGTGTCAGTAATACAGTCCGTCGATGCAATTAGTCACTTCCAGTCTGAGAGATTGACAGATGATAAGTGGCATAATTATCCCAGGACTTTTGTCACGGCTACATTAAGGACAGGCATAATGACAGGATCTGGTGGAGGTGAAGAATGAAGTGTTCGCCCAGTGACAGACTACACTTAGGACCTGCATCTCTGCAGTGACTCACTCTCAGTCTATTGTGTGCCTACAGGTTCAAACGTCTGCTCATGCTTTTATTTGATTTCATTATAGGGGAACATTTGGGAGCAAATTTTCCAGGTGTCATTTCTTCTGGAGATGATTAACACAGTTCCCTTCATCATCACGGTAATGCTTCTACCACTCTTAAATAATCATTATCTATAATAACACTTTAAACTATGGTCTTTTTGTACTTTTTCATTATTTCTTTAATCTAAGCTTTTAAGAATTGAAGACATAAGCATTATTGAGACTCAGACTTACATCAATGTGAAGAATAACAATTCCTGCTATCCCACCTTTTAGCCAAAGGACCAAAGTGGTGAACATGGTGAACATGCCACCGCCTGCATTTTCTTTTTATTTAATATGTTATTGTTGTCTTTATTCTGCACTGGCTTTTGCTGTTTTAACTTTGTAAAAGTCCCTGTTGTGGGACGAAAAGAGGATGAAAGGCTCTGTCATATGAGTAGCCCAACTGTACGCGTATTAATTACATGTCGCTGTCCGTGGTGCTGAAGTAGAAAACTTGTTGATTGATTTGTAATTGATTTACATTTTTTCTCTCAGTCCCAGACTTCTGTCAGATGAATTGTTCTTACCCATTCAGCCTTTAACACATTTCTTGTGCACATGTAAATGGTTAAAAACTGAAGACTGCATCGATGTCATTTTGGGTGTCAAATTGAAGTTAACAGTGATGCAAACAGGTATGGTGAAAAAAGAGAGAACTATTCGAAGCAGAAAAAAAACAGCGTAATATACCATCTGACAAAGGCCTGTGCTATAAGGCTTAAATGAACTGGCTATTCTTTATAATATACTCAGATCAATAGGAGACAGAGATGTTAAGTTATAAATCAAGGGTTTTTATTATTATTTACAGCAGGGGTGGGGAACCTTTTTCCTTTCAATTTTTACAACATCCTCCGAGGGCCGTACAAATTATTGAACTCAACCTCTGCTTGAAAAAACTAAAATCACAGCCCATTCATTTTGCCTTTCTTTCATGCTGTGCAAAGAAAAAGCAACCTCTTAATCCAGATATCTTACCATGACTCATGTTTGACGCATGCATGCATTCACGTGCACGGTGTGGCATGACCACCCAAACAGAAAGATATGGACACAAGATGTGTGCAAATGTATTTAGTATCCTATCCATGTGAACATGATTTAAGTGGGGGGGACCTAACCTCCTCTAGGGGGGTCCGTGGGCATGCTCCCCCTGGAAGATTTTTTTTTAAATATTGAAGTTAAAAGCATCAATCTGGTGCACTTTGAGAACAACATGAGGAGATCTATGGATACATCTTTCAACACCCATTTCAAACAGAACTGTAAGCAGATTTTTCTTTTTGGATATTTTACAAATCACTCCCCTTTTAAACTCTATTCTTGTTATTTTTAACAACTTTTTTGTTACTGTCATATAGTATTTTATACCTGTTTTTCATTTAGTCTCTAAAGTCTCATTAATAACTATAATGATCATATCCAGGTGTGCCTTAACCTCACTGAGGTTATTTGAGCCTCTCAGGAGAGAGCTCTCTTCCACCTGGTTGTAGAAAAGCTCTTTAAATTCGTTAGCATAGCTAGCTAACCAGATGCTAAAAACAACAGATCGCCACTGTGCTTACAACTAAAGACACAGTCGAGCAAACACTGCGGCATGTGTACGGCTCCTTATGGGTACTGCAATATTTGAAGAGCTGGAGCGGCACTACACTCCTTTCAGACGAGACATAACCACGTGAAGACACGTTACGCTCGTGTTGTGTTCATGCAGGGTATATGCAGGAATCCTGAGGTC